GGGACTACAGGCACCTGCCACCATGCCCGGCTAAATTTTTTTAATTTTTAGTAGAGACAGAGTTTCTACTACTACTACTGTTGGCCAGGCTGGTCTCGAACTCCTGACCTCTAGTGATTTGCCTGCCTCGGCCTCCCAAAGTGCTGGGATTACAGGCGTGAGCCTCTGCACCCAGCTGTGAGACTCTGTCTCGAAACATAAAAAGAAAAAAAAACACTATAGAAAAATGCTGGTTTCTGGCCCAGGGAAGTCCTCCATTTTGTCAGTGTATTCAGGATTAGGCTGGCTCTGAAGTAACACTTCTGCAGACCAGATTCAACTTATAAGAGTATGGCATCTAGAAAAAAAACCTGATTTATTAATTTACAATGGAGCAATATATACATTCAGCAACTAGAATGTTTGTGTTTCCCATTCAGGTCTAGGTTTTCCTGGTATGAAGGTTCTTGGAAGGCCGCATCATAATCTACTAGCATACACTGAGCGTCTAATCTGGGCCAGGTCTTTGCTAGACATTTTTCACAAACAACCTAGTTTGATCTGTGTGCCCAACTCAATTAAGTGAGGATCATTCAGGACATTTTACAGGTAAGAAAACTGAACAGCAGAGAGGTTATGAAGCCAAGAAGCAGCAAGGCTGGAGTCTGAATTCAGATCTATTTGATAACAAAGTGAGCATGTTTCCATTATACCCTGCCGCTTATGTGTGAGCTTTTCTAGCCAGTTTCAAAGCATCCTTGGGGACGTTTTCACTGGCTGTGCCTCCCTGTATGGATTTCTGTCACAGCATTTAGTGCATAGACACAGTCTTATTATTGAAGGCTGTCTTTCCTAGGCTCCCTCCATCTCTTGGTATTCATGGATCATGTCTTAGGCATTTTACAAAATGGAGTATAGCACAGGTCCTGGTATTTGGTACATGCTTAAACAAATGATTAAATGAGTCCTCTTAACCTACAGTTAAAATTGACCTCTTTTTTTTTCTTTAATTTGAAGATGGGATCTCTTTCTGTTGCCCAAGCTGGAGTGCAGGGGTGCCATCATGGTTCACTGCAGCCTCGACCTCCTTAGATTAAGGGCTCCTCCTGCCTCAGCCTCCTGAGTAGCTGGGACTGCACTTCTTCTCTTCAACACTTAGCCTTGTCCCAACTTCCCAGCTTCACCACAATATTTTATTCCAAGTCCTATGTTTCCAGCTGTAGTGCCAGGCACACTCAAAAATATTTCCAATTGATTCCAAACAACACCCTTGTATATACTGGAAAGGTCTTCTAGGGTTGAGTTTTTCCTTCAACCTAATCTCAGTCCATCCTGATGGCTTGTCAATGTATTTCCTTTTGTTTCATCCTCAGGAGCTATGGAAAAAGCTGTTTCCCATTGTGAGTTTACTATGAAAATGAGCTGTCAAGATTCCAGGGAAGGGAAAGATGCCAGCTCCAGGCTGAGGTCATGATTTTGTTTAAAGAGGCTTTGCTAATCATCTCAGTGGTGATGCAAACTCCCTGCAACAATGTTCAAGACAGGCCTGGGTGGGACTGGTCTCCTTCCCCTGCCACAGCTCTGGGGAGGAGTAAGCTGGAAACCGGAAGGAGCCCTTTAAAAGCCCTGGTTTCTTCACCAGTGACACAAACAGTGGGTATGTGGGTAGGACTAATCAAAGCAAATCAGCAAGTGTTCCCAGATGCAAGGCTCCCTGCTAGACAAAATGGGGTGCAACAAAGTGGAAGAGTAGGCCCTTCCCTCTAAGCCTCACTGACACTCACTCTCCTCATTGCAAAAGTGATCAAGTTGGACTTCTCCCATGAAGTACCCCTAGTGCAGATGAGGGTTTCTGTCCTCCGCTCCTCTAGGCATTATTCTAAGCCAACTACTATAAATGAGAAACTTATGTGAGTTGCCTTAAACATTCTGTGCAAGTTTTGCATTTGATTTCACAGATATTACAAGTTGTTTTAATATACACGTTGTGGCTCTTCTCTCAAACATCTAAGTAAAATTGATACCCCAGAAAGATGCCGCATATTTATCCTATGACTTAATGGGTACCCCCAAGGGGTACTCCGCCAGACTACCCATTCCCTACCAGGAGCAGCTCCGAGCTAGATGATGTCCGACATTCTTTCTAGATCCAAAATTCCTTTATGAGGAGTCCGAAATAAGTAATAACAGAAACAACATAGGCAGATATGTTTGAATGTAAGGGCATATAAATTCAATTTCTTTTTTTCAAAACTCTCACCAAGTAAAACACTTCTGCAGCCCAGATTCACCCACCAACTGTCAGTTTTCAAACTATATTTTCAGAATCTATATTTTAAGAAAAGTCCCCAGGGGACTCTTATGATCAGGCATTTGGAAACCCTGAAATGACATGTATGAATTGTTCATAAACTATAAAACCTGAGACGAATGTGAGCCATCACTGTGGGTAGGGATAACAACCCCTGATGTCTTTGCCACACGAGATGGCTTAAATGAGACAGATAATGGGTACCACTTTGTGAAAGTCAGGAACCGAAATTATCAAACTGGAAGGCATGGTGGCTGATGCAGCTCTGTCCTTCTGAGCCTCATCACAGGTCTGTGCAGAGGACTTATAGCCTCTGTAGCCCTGGAGGGAGGCACAGCTGGCTGGAAAAAGATGTTGTCAACCTCTTGCCTCTTCCTTTCCCAGTAGCTCAGATCCAGGGCTGTGAGCTGTTCTGGTGCACAAACAGCAATAGCACCAAAGGTCTCTCTCTCTTCCTTTACTTACTTATTTTAGGACCTCTTCTATCAAAAGAGAGATCCGAGAAAGAAAGGGACACAGATTCTAGTGTCCTTAAGAAGAGGGACTGTCCTCGCTGGGCCCCTGGATCTCTCCCCAGCCCTGCCCAGAAACCCAGGACCCTATACACGGTGTTCTTTTACAAGGACACTGCCCTCCAGGAGGCCTCATTTCCTGAGCCTATCCTAACTTGCTTTCCTATATCAGAACAAATGTATTGGTCCAGGGTTCTGTTGTTTGGGGGTCCCAGTGTGAAAAATTAATATGATAAATTATGTTTAAGGCTCTAAATAAAGTGCTACACGAAAGCAGATTCAGGTCTTATTCATTTGCCCTGCCCCGCCCTGCCTTGCCTTGCCTTTTCTTTTCTTTCTTGGAGTCTGGCTCTGTTGCCCAGGCTGGAGTGCAGTGGCACGATCTTCACTCACTGCAACCTCAGCCTCCCAGGTTCAAGTGATTTTCCTGCCTCAGCCTCCCGAGTAGCTGGGACTACAGGGGCACGCCACCACGTCCAGCTACTTTTTGTATTTTTTAAGTAAAGACGGGGTTTCACCATGTTGGCTAGAATGATCTCAATCTCTTGACCTCGTGATCCGCCAGCCTCGGCCTCCCAAAATGCTGAGGTTACAGGCGTGAGCCACTGCGCCCGATCGGTCTTATTCATTTCTACGCTCCTGTCCCTAGTTTCTGGGTCACATTTGGAGGGGTGAGATGGAACTCAATTTGAAGCTACACGTGTAAAGGTGGCAGTGTTTTAGAACATCCTGACGTTTCAATAGCTCCCTTTATTCATTCAACAAATATCTGAGAGCATACTATGTGCAGGGCATACTCTATAGGCCCTCGGCTTTCGAACTTTTGTGAACTTCAGCATCACCTAGAGGCCTTGTTAAAACACAAAGTTCTGAATCATAGATTCTGATTCAGGAGGTCTGGATGAGCCCTAAGAATTCAATTTCTAACAAGTTCCCAGGTACAGCTGATGCTCCTGATCTGGGAATCACACTTGGAGAAAAACTGATACAGGGCATGGCAGGAGCCAAGCCCCTGATCTAAGACACGATCTAGGGTGGTTATTATGTCAAAGAGACTAACGATGGAGATTTTCTCATCTTGGGACGTCAGTGGGGAAGACACGCAGGAGGCCTGGAAGCCCCTGGAGCTGTGGTCTGCGCCTGCCACCCCCGGAGTCAAGCACAAACAGAAGTCAGCTGTGCTGTGCCCATCCCTGCGGCGCCGTGAAAGTAGGCGCAGGAGGAGGGAGCCCTGACGCCTCTTCTCCGGCTAGGGCCCCACAGCGGCGAGAGGACGGAGGGAGGGATCGGGGGTCGCGGGGATCCTTCCGGGACAGGCCTCCGCGGGAGGAGCTCCGGAAAGCCGCCCTCCACCTCCGAGGCCCCGCCTGCGCGGGCGCTCCGCTAGCGGTCGGGGTGGTGGTGGTGGTGGCGGCGGCGGCGGCGGCGCGGGGCGGGGCGCCGCGACCCCTGTTCCTCCCCCGGGCCGAGCGGCGGGCGCGCTCGCACCGCCCCCGCCCCCTCGTTGCAGTCGCTGCCGACCGGCTGGCTGGGCCTTGCGGCGTGAGGACCCCGGCAGCGCCGCAGTCCCGCGAGCCATGGCCCAGTCTGGCGGGGAGGCTCGGCCCGGGCCTGAGACGGCGGTGCAGATCCGCGTCGCCATCCAGGAGGCCGAGGACGTGGACGAGTTGGAGGACGAGGAGGAGGGGGCGGAGACGCGGGGCGCCGGGGACCCGGCCCGGTACCTCAGCCCCGGCTGGGGCAGCGCCAGCGAGGAGGAGCCGAGCCGCGGGCACAGGTAGGCGCGGCGGCCGGCCAGGGAGGTGGGCCCCGAGGGGGCGCCGGGCCGCGCGCGAGTTCGGGGCGCTGACTGCGCGCGACAACTCCGTGGGCAGAGGGGGTTGAGTCAGCCCCGCTGCCGGTGAAACAGCTCCGGGCCGAACCCCTGAGTCAGAACTGGCCCGTGGAGGCAGCCGGTGCCCCAGTCCGCAGCTTCGTCGCCCCACCGAGGTTCCCAGGGCTGGCGGCCGGGATCTGAGGGGCCCGGACGTGGGGATGTTCAGGGATCCAGGAGGAGGACTTTCACGGGCCATCCAAGCCACCCGCTCCTCTGGAGGAGGCCTCTTCTCTGTGGGCTCCCTCAAGACACCACCCCCCCCCATCCCTGCAAAGTGCATCCCTGCCCGCCTTCCCCTCTCCTTGCGAGTGGTCCCACTTACCCTTCACTGCCAGCATCGCCCTGCCTTTCCCAGTCCCGCTGGATGCGCTCAGTCTTTAGGTGGTGGCAGGCCAGGTACAGCGGACACTTGCTGATGGGGGATTCCAGGAGGTGGGATTTCATGGTAATTTGAGACGGATACAGGACTTGCTGCTTTACATCCTCCCGCTCTGGGGGATTCCCATTTTCACACAGCCTTTCCCACCCGACCTTTATGTTTGTATCATCATCTTGCTTTCTTGGGTAGGTGGGTTCCTGGGTTTTGGGTAGTTTGGAGCTGCTATGGCACCTGTCTAACCTTGTCCCGGGTCCTGAGCTTTGTCCGCAGGCACCTTGGCTCCTGTCCACTAATGCCCAGACCCTTAAGGACTGGGGTTTTGTTCCTGCTGTTGAAAGGAGATACAACATAGACATAGACATGAGAGTGGGAAAATGACAGAACTTGCACATTCTGGGGGATGCCAACAGGCACTTGTTAGGAGCTTTCTTTCTTCTAGGACCCTTTCCCAGGCGTTTAGCTGTTAACGTTCTGCAGGATTGTCCTGGCAAACATATATCTACTTCATTGGGAGAATACTCAACTTAAGGGTGGATGAATACTGGGCCCAGAGCCATTCTCTATTACTGGCTGACCCTTCCCCAGGTTAAAGGGTCAGATTTCTGGACCCCAAGATTCGGGGCAGACCAGTAGAGACAGTTATTAGGGGAGAAAAGTCAGCCCACCAGGGTAGGGCAGGAAAGCTGGACCATAGCATATGACGCGGTAGATAGATCTGTGCTTTATAATGCAAGGCCTGATTCATTTAGCTCTGTGCTAAGTACCGAGAGCGTAAAAATGATGAACCCATAGTCACTGACAGCTCACAGTCTTGAGAAGGCAGTCACCTAGTTAGATAATATCAGAGTACGTAAAATAGCCCCGAGTAGTTTATCCTTATAACTTTATTTTCCTGCGGCAGTGGCAAATAGCCATCCCTATCCTGAGGGCTAAATTTGTGAGATTGTATCATTAGCCAGGATTAAAGCTCTACTTATGTTTAAGGCCTGGAAAGATCCCCTGTGGAGGTCTAGGAGAAACCAAGCTTCAGTATGGGTGGGCCTCTTGCCTGAACCCCTCTTGCTCTTCCTCCAGAATTCCCAGCTCCCATGGCTTGAGTCTCAGCAAGTGTTCAGTCTGAAGCCCTTCCTGCTGCCCACTGGCATAGAGTTGACCCCAGAAAATCCCTGGGGTTCTTCAGGGAGCCGACAGAGCCCAGTGGGCAGGCACCCAAAGCACGAGGAGATGTAGCCAAGAACAGGATTCACACTATCCCCTGTTTGGGCCCAGCCTCGCATGGCAGCAGCCATCACCTGATGTGAATGTTCTCAGCTCCTGGAGCCTACAGGAGAAAGCCCAGATCCCTCAATCTGCTCATTAAGATGCGACACCCACTCACATCGTCTCCTCAGCCCATTGCTTCCTTCCCTGCTCCCGCGATTCCGACTAGTTGCCTGAGCACAGGGGGCTATTTTGTGTCTACATGTCTCTGCACCCCCACCTCTAGGTCCTCTGATTGACTGATTTCTAGTCAGCCTTTAAAACTTTGCCGCCTCTTCTCCACCCACCCCCAATCCCCACCCCAGAGCTGGCTGTGTTTCCTTTCTTCTCTGTTGCTGTAGTACTCTGTACATTTTATGCCTAGCACCTTCCACAATTGTGATTCTATCATTGTGTCTCCCTCACAGGGATAGGAGCTCGGTGAATTCAAGGACCATGCTTGCTTCTTTCATTGTATCTTCAGCACCTAGCACAGCACCCAGCACACAGGACATATTTGTTGACCGAATGCATATCTCTGTCATCACACTCACTCCATGGTGTTGAGATATGTGTGTTTCCCCTCCCCTAGACAGTGAGATCCTTGAAGGCAGCTGCCTTATCTTACTCCTTTTCATATTTCCATACCTAGCCTAATACCTGGCTTATATAAGGGAACAGAGAATAAACGAATAATAAAGAACAGCCTTTACAGCCTCTAAAATGTTCATGGATCATCTCCCCACATCTCATTCATTAAAAAGATGCCTTTCCTTTTATTCTCACCTTTTTAACATACATATTTTCAAACATAAACAAAATATGAAAAAAACAGTACTATGAGCATTCATAGACCCATCATCTAGATTTAACACTTAATATTTTGCCGTATTTAGTGAATGGATATATAATGTATGTGTTTTCCCCCGAACCATTTGAGGTATGTTTTACACAAGATTATACCTTAAATACTTCATTTTGTAACTCCTAATAATGACATTCCCTATAAAGCCCTAACACTATTATTGCAACTGAGAAAATTACCTATCATTCCCTAATATAATCCTGAAGATAAGCTAATCGCCAAGTTCCACATTCAGGATTCCCCAGATTGTTCCACAATTGTCTTTTACAGCTGTTTCTTTTTTCCCCTCAAACCAGAATATGGTCTGGGTTGAGGCATTTGCTTCTTATGTCTCTAGAATCTATTTATCTAGAAATTTCCACCATTTTTTTTCCCTAATGCTGTGCTATTTTGGACAGAAGAGGCCAGATATCTTGTTGAATGTCTCACATTTTGGATTAGTCTGGTAATGTTCTCATGGTCTTATTTTACTTGCTCCTTTGTACCATGTGCTTCTTATAAACTGGAAGTTAGGGCTAAGATTTTGATTTGATTCTGTTTAAACATTTTGGCAAGAATGCCTCATACTCTGGGCCTGGAACTTTATGTTGCATCACCTCAGGAGCCATCTCACTTTTAGTGATGCTAAATTTGACTATTCGATTAAGGAGATTTCTCCATCGTACAGGTTGTCTTTCCCTTTGCAGTTAACAAGTTATTTGTGGGCTTCTCATCCTGGGTTCTGTTAAGTTGATGTATCACATGTATTGATTTGCATATGTAGATCCATGCGTGCATCCCAGGGATAGATCTCACCTGAACATGGTGAATGATCCTTTTAAGATGCTGTTGAATTCAGTTTGCTAACATTATGCCGAGGATTTTTGCATCTATGTTCATCAGGGATATTGGTCCATAGTTTTCTTTTCCTTGTCTGGCTTTAGTATTGGGGTTATGCTGGCCTTTTGAAATGAGTTTGGAAGCACTCCCTCCTCTTCAAAGTTTTAGAAGAGTTTGAGAAGTATTGGTATTAGTTGTTCTTTAAATGTTTGGTGGAATTCAGCAATGAAGCCATCAGGCCTTGAGCTTTTCTTTGGTAGGAGATTTTTGATTCCTGATTCAATCTCCTTACTTGTTATTGGTCTGTTCAGATTTTCTGTCTCTTCATAATTTAGTCTTGGTAGGTTGCATGTTTCTAGGAATTTGTGCATTTCTTCTAAGTTATCCATTCCTCTTGCAATATTCTTTCCCCAGTGACTTTTCACCTAATTATTTTAGCATCTATTGATGATCCTTACCTAATTTGGTTATTTCACTGGGGATTGAAAATTGAGGATTTTCTAATTTTCACATTTTTTTGTACACTTATTAGCTAGCATTGCTCTATTTTTTTTTAAAGAGTTTTGTCTCATCATCTGGATTGAACAAAAGTTTCTCCTAAAGTGGCAAAAAAATGCTTAATTATTTCCCTTTAATTACAGTTTTCAAAGAGATAATTTGATATAATAGTTACACTAAATAATTTAAATGAGGGTTCTTCCTCAAGCTCATACTCTCCCTCTCTCTCCAATTCATGGATTTGTATTTATTCACTTTTTAATAATTAGTCACAGTCATTTCTGGTGCTCAAAATGCCTATATTGCAGCTAGCAGACCCCCTTGAAGCTGGCCTCCTTGTGTCTTTTTGTAGCATGTCCATTAGTCTTTAAGCACTTCCTTGCTTTCTGGTACTAGATATTCCAGGCATAATTTGTACTTTTCCTACTCCAGTCATGGAATTCAGCCATTTCCACAGGAATCTCTGGTTTTTTCAAATACTAGTAAGAAAGTATTTAGAAACCAAGACCTGGAATTAAGAAAGCTAACTTCTGCCAGAGTATTGTTGCTTTCAGAGCCTTTCAGTGGACAGAACTAAGATATATATATATATAATTTTTTTTTTTTGAGACAGAGTCTTGCTCTTGTCGTCCAGGCTGGAGTGCAATGGCCCAATCTTGGCTTACTGCAACCTCCACCTCCTGGGTTCAAGCAATTCTCCTGCCTCAGCCTCCTGAGTAGCTGGGATTACAGGCACCCGCCACCATGCCTGGCTAATTTTTGTATTTTTAGTCGAGATGGGGTTTCACCATGTTGGCCAGGCTGATCTCGAACTCCTGACCTCAAGTAATCTGGCCGCCTTGGCCTCCCAGAGTGCAGGCATGAGCCACCAACCCTGGCCTCTACTTTTTTGTTAATGTCAATTTTTTGTCAGATGTGGAACTAAGTACCTTATATATGTAGTCTCTACTCCGTACTACAAATCATTATTTAGACCTGCAGAGACATCCACTAGTTGTATATCCCTTTCCCAGGCTCAAGGGCTTATGCCAGAACAGCATTACAGAAGACAGGGTCAGAGAGGAAGTTCATGTCTCTGTAATAAATATATAAGAACCCATGGGCCACCCAAGCATAAGATGTGACCCTGCTAGCACCATCCAAAATATGGTTTGTAAAAGGGTGATGCCTTTAACAAAGTTGAGAACATACCTGTATATGTTTTTAATCTGTCTCAGTGAAGAATCTTTATCTTTTGAATCTACCCTGGTGTTTTTATATTGCATTATCAATTTGCCCTTTTTGAACCATTTCACATTCATTATCTTGTTCTAGAGGTGAGTCAAAAGAAATCTCACACAGACAGGACCTGGACCCTAATGTTTTTCAGAAATGATGTTTCTCTTTTGTGTTTGGTACCTTCCTTATTGGTGTCCACCATTTTCTTGGTCTTGGTGGTCAAAATACCACATTCCGCCATCTACAATGATAGATGATGCGTCTGAGAAATCATTCCTGGATTGAAAGTTGTGGTGAGGGTCTCATTATTCCACCATCTTAGTTTGGATATTTTCCTCCTGTCGGGTATCATTTGATTAACTGCGCAATCAGTGTAACCAGATTCGATATTTTATGAAAAAAGTAGCCTTGGATGTTTTATGTTACAAATCATTTTGTTTCTCTAAATCATTTACAAATATGATACACCTGTAATCCCAGCACTTTGGGAGGCCAAGATAGGCAGATCGCAAAGTTAGGAGTTTCAGACCAGCTGGCCAATATGATGAAAGCCTGTCTCTACTAAAAAATACAAAAATTAGCCAGGCATGGTGGCGCACACATGTAGTCCCAGCTACTCAGGAGGCTGACACAGGAGAATCGCTCGAACCCAGGAGGCAGAGGTTGCAGTGAGCCAAGATCGTGCCACTGCACTCCAGCCTAGGTGACAGAGTGAGACAACATCCAAAAAAAAAAAAAAAAAAAATTCAACACTGATTCATGGAACCCAATTATCTGTTTTAAAATGTACCCCTTTATTTCTACCCATTTCTCACAGGTTTATAGCTGTAACAAAAGACCTCATCACTCCCAGTTTACAATGTTTTACAATGTTTTATTAAAAAACAAAACAAAGCAAAACCTTAAGTGTAAAACTTTTTCAAGCCTCCTTGAAAGGCCGTTGAAAACATATTCATCAGAAACCATCCTTCCTCCCTCCTGATAGGATCCTGATAGGTATGATTTGCCCTCAAAACTGTTTGCTTTACATTGGTGATACATTTTAAATTCCCATTACGTGCAAGGCTCTGGGGTAATACTATAATGAAAGAAACCAGCTGAAGTTCTACTCTCAACTCAGTGTTCAGGCTGCTAATAAAATATGCACACAAGTAGCTATAATACAAATATAGATAAGTATTGGGAGAAGTAGAAATGACTTTTTTTTTCCTAGGAGAATTGCATTTAAGATGGACCTTAATGTGTGACTAGAATTTAGACCCGAGAGAGAGGAGCAAGGCATTCAGAGACAGAAACAGCAAGCTCAAAGGCACAGAGTCCAGAAAGTTTGTGACACTTACAGATAACCATGTCTTTCTGTTTGTTTGGAGCAAAGGATCTGAAAGGACACCGATGGAAATAAGTTTTGACACTGGTTACAGCCAGATTCTAAATGAATCTGAATAAGGAACTGAAGACTTTGTGTTTTTTTTTTATTATTATTCTGTATGTATGTATGTATGTATGTATGTATGTATGTAGTTTTTGAGACAGGGTTTTTTTTTATGTATGTATGTATGTATGTATGTATGTATGT